CTGGAGGACATCAGCAACTTGGCAGTGAGGATGTGGATTTTCCCTTGGTTCTATCCCAGCTTTCTCTGATCCCCATCCTGGTCTATAGGATGTGAAAACCTGCACCCCTGGACCTTTCCAGCCACTACTGAGCTCTTCAAGAAAACCCGACAATGGGCAAGGAGCTGCTGCCTAGTTCCATGATCCCCATAACATCAAGTGATGGGGAGGAGCAGGCACTGCCATGAGACCCCTTTAGAGTAAGGCTTCCAGTCAGCTTAGCCACCTTCTGGCTCTGTGAATTGGGCAGTTTATTTTAACCCTTGAACTCCAAGTTCCTTGTGTGTGAAACAGAGATAAGAATAGGTCAGACTATTAGAAGGTTAGAAGGTTCAAATAAGTAAGTTACTTGAAAGCTCTACACAAACATATATATTTCTATATACTAATATATATATATATATATACATATATGTCATCTAGTATATAATATTGGTGTTATCTAGTATACATAATATATATTAATATATACATATATGTATATATACTTCAAAATATATATAATATATATGTACATATATATTAGTATATATATGTATACATAAATATAGATGCATACTTATAATATTAGTGTCATCTCAATAATGAAATTGTTTCCATTTTGGAGGTCAGTTTTGAAGTATTTGAGGCAGAGAACATTTTATTACAAAAATAAATATAAAGACTTTTAGAAAACCTTTTTAGAGCCACTCATATCTCAATAGTATCTCATTGTGGTTGACTTTTTTTTTCTTTTTGGTACCAGGGATTGAACCCAGAGGCACTTAACCATTGACCTATATCCCTAACCTTTTTATATTTTTTATTTTGAGACAGGGTCTCACTAAGTTGCTGAGGCTGGCTTTGAACTTGAGATCCTCCTGCCTCAGCCTCCCAAGTCACTGGGATTACAGGCTTCATAGTGCCTGGCTCATGGTTGAGCTTTGATCTTCACTGAGATATAATGAGAAACCTTTGAAAAATCAAAAAATTCTTTCATGCCCCTGGAGAATTTGACTCACCCCAAAAACTGCATATTTGGCACTGAGAAATTCATTTTATGCTCCCTACGGCATCATGATTCAAATCTGTGACTTGGAAATATTACAAGTTATAACTTACCATGAATCCTTCTAATCTTTACATGAACTCAAAACATGAATATTTTCTGCAAATACCAGGCGTTGCACTATTTTCAATGATTTCTGTGTTTGTCTTTCTAGGTTCTACATGTGCCTGTGTGGATGTGTTTTTAGATAGTTGTAATCATGATACCTGTATGATTTGGGCAGTCTTGTATTGTGCTTTTTCCCTTTAAATAGTCTCATCCACATTTGTCCGGGGGGCTGCAAAGTCTAAAAACCCATTTTAATGACTGCCCAGCTGTCCATGGAGTTGTTACACCATCATTTACTTTATCATTCCTCCTCACTAGGTGTTTACTAAGAGTCCTTTAGATGGTTGCTTTGAAAGAGGCATGTGGAGGGTGAGCACCAAATATGTCCCACCTTCAACCTTTTATTTGTTCCCCACTACACACACACACACACACACACACACCTAACAAGAAAGAGCCCTAACAGTTTCAAGGATCAATCCAGAGAACAAAGAGAATGAGAGAAGGAGATGAGGATCTACTTTCTAAATGCAGACCTGTGATTCCCTAACAAAGTGCTAAACCCACAGATTATATGGACCCAGAACTGGGGATGAAGGATTGTAAAGGCAAATATTTCCTGTTATTTTCTGTCCCTGCACCTTTCCCCACCACCTCCTCCAAAGACATCAAAACAGGACAGAAGGAGAGCAGTGGGTTTAAAAACTTGTAAGTCAATCTTTGTGGATGTACTAAAAAGCCACCAAAGCAGCATGGCTGCATGTTGAGACTGTGGACTCAGGGTTTGAATCTTGACTCTTGCCCTTACTAGTTCAAGGTTTAGGGCAAGTTGCTTAACCACTCTGTATCTTGCTGCTGCATTTGTAACATGAAAGAAAGTAATGAGACCTGTCTCTCAGATCCTTTGTAAGAAATTCCTAGAGAAAACAAAAGTAAAGTGGGAGGGCTTCCAAAGTCATAGGAGATGGGCAGGATCTTCAGACTACTAAACAGGTCAGACTCCTATGAAAGGAGAGAAGGAAGGATCTAGAATTGAGTAAGAACAGTTCTGACTGTAGTGCGGCCCAGGGAGAGGAAGTCTGGCCAATGGAAAGTCCCCAAGCAAAGACTGCCTCAGGGGAATCTCAGGTGGGCAGGAATGGCCCATCCCAGCCCTGCACAGTGACCAGTCATTGAGCAGCTTAAGGTTGATACCAAATACCCTCCCTTCAGCAGATTCACCTGTGAGCTTCACTTTTCCAATGGCTGCCATGACTTTAGGCTGCTAATTGCTCTAGACAGAACATGGTACATAGGAAGCACTATGAAAGCTGCAACTGCTGCCATTATTTCATAGTATGTGTTATAATTCACAAAGCTCTTTGGTGTTATTTCACTCAATCATCACAACCATCCTCTGCAGCTAGTATTTCATCCCCACTTGGCAGATGAGAAGGAGGCTCAAAGAGGTCACATGCTTTGCCCAAAGTCACACAGCTTGTGGATGGTAAGATGAGATTCTACACTAAGCCCCTTGAGGGTAGTAAGGTGTCATCCTTATCTTTGCATCCTGCAGTAGCTGCTCAGATGGAGAGGAAGATAAAACAACTCCTGTCCTCCTGTCCTGGACTCTTATTTTTGGTGATCCAAATACAAAAATAGGTAATTTCAGAAGACCGTAATTCATGGAATTACTTCACATTCCCCAAACACACCAGGTACTTTCTTTATTCTTATGCTCCAGCCCCCAACCTTTCTTTGTGCCAACATCTCTGCCTAGAGGGCCCAGCCCACCTGCTGAAACCTGCCAGTCTTTCAGGGCCTGACAATTTTCTCTGTAACACAACCCCACATCCAACAGCCAAGGAAAATTACCGCACTCCTCTGTGCTTCCATGTGCCTCACTTTGTTCCAAACACTGTCTCCCTACCCTGCAGTAGAGTTAGTTTACCTGCAATAGACTGAGCACCCTGAAGGCAGCAACCATTTCTCACTCACCTCCAAACCCCTCTGGGGGCCCCTCATCAGCAGTAGTAGAAGATCAATAAGGGTGTCATCTTTATTATATGAAGTTGCAAACATTTTAATGAAGTTCTTTGTTTAGTTTTGAACTTTGTATTTTGAAATAATGTGGATTAACATGCTGTTTCAGCATGTGAATAAAAGAATAAGAGAGATCCTGTATACCCTTTATACAGTTCTCCCAATGTTAACAACTTACATAGCTCTGTACAATATCACCACCAGGAAATTGACCTTGACACAATCTATAGACTTTATTCAGATCTCACCAGTTTTACATTCGTGTGTGTGTGTGTGTGTGTGTGTGTTTAGTTCCATGTAGTTTTGTGACATGTGTAGATTCCTGCACCATCACAGCAGTATATATACAGAGCAGATCCTCGCAGGGATATTTCATGCTGTCCTTCTATAACCAAGCCCACATTCCTTCCTTTCTCTCCCCAACCTCTGAAACTACTGACCTATTCTCCATCTCTATAAGTTTGTCATTTCAAGAATGTTCTATAGATGGAGTTTTGTAGGATGTAGCCTTTTGGAATTAGCTTTCTTTCACACACATGATTCTCTTGAGATTAGTGCAGGTGTTGTTATGTATCGGTAGTTTGTTCCAATAATTTTATGAGTAGTATATTTTATAAAATGTATGTGCCAATTTGTTTAACCATTCACCTTTAAAAGACATTTAAGATTTTTTTTCCAGATTTTTGGCTCTGACATATAAAACTTCTATAAAAATCCAAATAAATAAATAAAACATACCATGCATGAATGAGTTTCCAATTCGTAGGGGATAGAAAAGGTGAAAACTCCAGTGGGAGAGGTCATTCAGACCAGTGTAGACACAGCAAATGACCCAACAGCATGTGACTGCTTTGACGGCAAGAACTGCAAATGGCAGAGTGGTCACAGGCTAGGGCTTAAGGTGAGCATCTTTCTTGAGTTGACATTTCTGGTTGTATCATTCTATGTTTGTATTCCATGTGTGAGGCATGTGGTAGGTAAGATTTCATTGAAGGAATGAATGAATAAATGAATGAATCAATAAATCAATGATTTTCTAAGTCCAATCAGGAGCTTTGGATGAGGCCCAAAACTTCAATACAAGTCGCTGCCTAAAGTCAGCTACAATGATTCTCAACTAGTAGCAGTTTCACCTCCAAGAAGACCTTTGGCAATTTATGAAGACATATTTCATTGTCATGACTGGGGATGCTGCTGGCTTCTACTGGCTAGAAGCCAAAGATATTGGTCAATCAGCCCTTGTACTAAAGAATTATCCAAGCCTGGGGCTGGGGTGGTAGAGTACTCGCTTTGCACATGTGAGGCCACATAAAAATAAATAAATAAAATAAAGGTATTGTATCTAACTACAACTAAAAAATAAATATTTTTTTAAAAAAGAATTATCCAAGCCAAGATGCCAATAGTGGTACTGTTGAGAAATCCTGAAATAAACCCAGAGCCTACAGTCAGGGTTAGAGGACTGTGTCTGAGAGGTTGCCTTGTTCAAAACATCATTTGTTCCTAAAGTGGGGACCATTTGGGAGTCCACCTTCTGTCAGTGGCTTGGCCTGCAGGCCCTTCCAGAATTGACCCCTTGGTGTGGGTGGAAGGATTCTCTCTTCTCCTTCCACCTACTTGCTCCTTCCCACTCAACTTAAACACTTATTTTAAAAACAATAATAACTCAGTGAGACACTGTCTCTAAATAAAATACAAAAAAGTCCTGGGGATGGAGCTCAGTTGTTGCCCCTGAGTTCAATCTCCAGTACCATCCCCCCAAAAGAACCAATAATAATAATAATAATAATAGTAAATCAGGAACAGTGGGAGCAAGTAAGTAAATGAGTGCTGTCTGTTCCAGGAGCTGCTCAGAGACCCTCTTTACATCGGCCTGAAACACCAACGTGTGCGTGGGAAGGAGTACGATGACTTGCTGGATGAGTTCATGCAGGCTGTGACAGATAAGTAAGTGGGCCAAGCTGTCTTTTTTGAAGGAGGGCTCTTTTTTAAAAAAAAATTATTTATTTATTTTAGTTAGGTTTATATGATGGCAGAATGCATTTTGATTCATTGTACCCAATTGCAGCACAACTTTTCATTTCTCTGGTTGTACATGATGTAGCGTTGCACCATATGTGCAGTCATACATGTACCTAGGGTAATAATGTCCATCACATTCCATCATCTTTCCTGCAGAAGGAGGACTCTTAAGAGCTACTATGACTGATGTCAACCCTGGTTTTGTTAGAATCACAAACAAGTGTTAGAAGATACTTACTTTTCTGGGTGGTCTGAATATTCCAACTGGACCCCACGTATTGGGAAGACTGGAGGTTGAACGGGCTCATTCTCTGGGAGAATCTTTGGCAGTGGAGAGGGGAGTGAAGGGATGATGGCCAATGTGTCTGTAATCTGGAGGAAAAGTATGTTTTTCCAGGAAGAAAACTCTCTTGGTCTGAGGTTCATAGCTCTTGGCATAAATAAGAATGTTGCAGGTGGTGAAAAAAGGACACTCCTCTTATGACAAAATGACCTTGGAAGGCAGCTTGCCACATTTATCATCACTCCACCACCACCATGTGAAGACAAGGCAGTATTAATAAACAGACCACATGGACTCTGGGCCAGCTAGATTTATGAGGTGTCATCTCTTCACTGGGGTGCACAATATTGGCAGCCCCACCCAACTTGCCTGCCCCATCTGTCTGGCATCTTGGCCACACACTCACCCTGCCATGGCTGGCATGCTGCTGGGATGGAGTCCTGGTAACAGTCCAACACAAGCTGGGAAAGTCAGGGTGTCTGCAGCCCATGGGGCCTCTTAAGATAAAGCAGGTCCCCTCACTTGAAAAAAAAATTATAATGATATTGTGGTCATATAGGAGGGAATGGTCCTGTAGAGAAGTCAGTGATGGAATGTAGGATGGGGGAAAAAGTTCTTGAGTAGGCTAGAACGCAAGGATCCAATGCACACCTGGAGAGTTTATTCTGAAGAGCACAGAAACCAATCACAGGGAAAGAGGGAAGGAAGAATATTGGGCACAGAGGGGGAAGGTGGGTAGACATGGTGGAAGGAGCATTTGGGAGTCCAGTCTAGTTGTAGATAAGATCATCAGTAAGTTTGAGATTGGAGAAAGAAGTGGTAAAGCTTTAAGGATGGAGGAGGTGTGAGCTAGTTATCTAGGAAAGTGGGGGAATTCAGACCTGGGGACTGAGGTGTGATTCTGAGCAGCTCCATGGACCCACTTGAAGCTAATGGTCATGAATTTAGCCTAGGTCAGTGGTATGGTTTGAATCTGTCCCCAAAAAAGCTTGTATTGGAATTCCATTTTAACAAGTATCAAAGTTAAAAGTACAAAAAAACATCTTCTACAGATATGGGATCTGGAAGCCCTATTGGATCTTTTTGTTCGTTTTGTTTTGCTTTTTATTTGTTCTATTTAGATATACATGACAGAACAGTGTATTTTGACATATTACACATACACGGAGTATAACTTAGGATCCCATTCTTGTGGTTGTACATGATGTGGAATTTTACTGGTGGTGTATTCATAAATGAACATAGGAATGTTATGTCTGATTCATTCTACTATCTATTCTATTTCCTTCTCCCTTCTTTCCCTTCATTCCCCTTCCAATTCTATTCTTCCTTCTACCCCTCCCCTTATTATGTGTTAGCATCCACATATCAGAGAGAACATTCAGCCTTTGGTTTTGGGGGATTGGCTTACTTCACTTAGCATGATATTCTCCAACTCCATCCATTTACCTGCAAATGCCATGATTTTATTGTATTTTAATTCAGAGTAATATTCCATTGTGTATATATATGCCACAGTTTCTTTATCCATTCTTCTATTGAAGGGCATCTAGGTTGTTTCCACAGTTTAGCTATTGTGAGTTGAGCTGCTATAAACATGGATGTGGCTGCATCACTGTAGTATGCCGATTTTAAGTCCTTTGGGTATATACCAAGGAGTGGGATAACTGGGTCAAATGGTGGTTCTTAAGAAAAACCTATATCTTTAATGATAGCTTTCAGGTAGACCCACCCAGTTCTAAACAAAACCTATAAAAGCAAAAAAAAAAAAAAAGAAAAAGAAAAAGAAAGAAAAAAGGAGGAGGAGAAACAGGAGGAGGATGAGGAGGAACACTGAAAAATTTCTTGTGAGTTCAGTGTAGTCTTTATGGAGGAAAGTGAGGGGCCTGACCTTGTACTCCCAGTGATATTTCTCTAACTTTCTTCAGTGGCCCAGGTTCCAGTCTCCAGCCTTAAGGATTTGTGTGTGAAGGGCACGTTTCATGTTTCCAAAGTATGGTAGAACCTATGAAGAGAGGGTCATTCTGCCTGTGCTAAGTGATAACCAATCTTGTTTTCATTTTAAAGTGATTTCTTCTGCTTAATTCCTTTCTCAAAGATTCTTTTCTCAATAACATATTTGCATTTTCTTTTAATAGAACTTTTGACCAAGTTTGTTGTTTGGTCTTAGATATTTGTTCAATAGAACAGAAATACAAGTACTTTCAAACACCCATCTTACCAATTGACATAGAGAAACACTTTTCAAACTACATTTTCAAGGATTCATAGTCATTTCACCTGCCCTTGTGGCATTTTTCTGAATTGTAAGTAAAATGACATTCTGTTAATTAAGTTACAATTTTTAACTTATATTTTTAAGGTTTTTTTAAAGATTTACAACAGAAGCATATGCATTTTGAAAAAATAATTTTAACTTGTCAGAATTATATAAATTGAGAATGTCACAACATTTTTTATATTTTCATATATTCCCCTCTTTAAGGCAGATTGATGATTATTCTTGCCAGCTCTTTCCTTTGCACACAAATATGTACTAAATTATCATACTCTTTATTAAAAGTGGGATCATACAATACATATTGTATAACCTGTAATTTTTTTTTAAAAAACTGTATATATTTTTACAGCTTATTTTACTGGAAATAAAGCATTATTTTAAATTGAAAAAAAAGTGTGTGCTGGAACCTTAATCTCCTATGCACCAAATCCTGGGATGTGGAGCCTAATGGAAGGCATTTAGGTCATGAAGGCTCCACTCTCACAGATGAGTTGATGGACATGGTGGGGCTCCTGTAATTCCAGCAACTTGGGAGGTTGAGGCAAGAGGATTGCAAGTTTGATGATAGCCTCAGTAATTCAGTGTGACTCTGTCTCAAAATAAAAATAAAATGGGCTGAAGATGTAGCTCAGAAGTTAAGTGCCCCTGGGTTCAATCCCCAGTACCAAAAAAAAAAAAAGCAGTGGGGGTCACAGCTGTGATTTCAAGCTCTTACTTTCTTACTCTCTTGCCCTTCTGCCTTCCGCCATGAGACCATGCAGTATGAAAGCCCTTACCAGATGCTGGCAGCTTTATTTTGGACTTTGTAGCTATACTGTGTGAAATCAGTTTCTTTTCTTTGTAAATTACTCAGACTATGGTATTCTGTTACAGCAGCACAAAACAGACTAAGACAGTCAGTTAAACTGTTTCTGTATTTCTCTACCTAGGTTCAACTGTCTGGGTATGTGGCAGGAAGAGACAGAGAGTAGGAGATCATCAGGGTTGGGATTTTGCCATGCAAGATAGAAAGGGAAAGAGACAGGAGTTGAGAGTATATTCAAAGGAATAATTCTAACAATGTGCCAGAAGGTCTAGGCTGAGTAAAATGGGACATGTGGATGTGTGCAGCAGGAGAAGTAAGGTAGAAAAGGTGATAGGACTGATGGACCATAAGTCCTGGTGAGGTCTCGATGCAAGGTGGAATAAGCTGGAAAGAAAGGAGGTAGTGATCAGAAAGTTTGGTGATTTCAGTTGATATTATGGAGGAAGTGCATTGGGATGTGGTCATCAGCAAAGTTAACTCAAGACTCAGAAGCCATTAATACAGACAGAGTATCTAGAAGGGAGGTGAATGCTCAATTCATTCTTCCCCTTTCAAATCATCCTGAATACCACATTTAAGTCTGACAAAGTACATCAAGGGTCATAAATTACCTAAAGCATCTTTGGAGAATCATAACAATGATTGTTCTCTATGTGTATCAGAGTTCAGTACCAACTCCAGACATCTGAAAAACATTCTTTCAGAATAGTATTTCATTCAATTCTGTGTATCCAGCAAAGAAGAACCAACTGGTAAGATGCCAATAGAGGCTGTTTAAAGCACAAAAATAAATCAGAGCCATCTCACAATATACTGCCCTCTGTAAGAATGAGATCCCCATCACAGAGAAATTCCAGGATAGGATTCATGACTTACTGGTGATGATACTATAAGAATGAACTCAAGCATCAGATGCTTCTTAACATGCCTTCCCACCCCATTATTCTATTCTGACCTCATAAGAATCTGTGTGGCTGGCAACATGGGTATTATTATTACTGTTTTTATAGAAGAGAAAACTAAGACTCTGAGAGGCCACAGGGCCTGTCCCATGTCATCCAGTACCTAGTGGGACTGTGAGCTGAATACCGGTGTGCTGACTCAGAGTCCAGGCTGCTTTCCACATTCTGAATTACCTGAGAGAAGGGAATGAAATTGGTTTCACAGCCTGTTTTTAGTTTCCTGTCTCCAGGACTCCCGCCTTATCTAATGAGTCAGTAGTCATTCCATGATTCCCCAAAGAGAAGTCCTGCTATGCATGTGAGAAGGTTAAACAAACTAGGATGTAAGAGACTCTTCAAAGGATCGTGAAAATCAGTTCGCAGCTTTACACACTCACATGGGCAGCCCAGGGGTGCACTCCTGGGGAGGGCTGAGCATCAGCCATCAGGAATGTATCTTTAACCCTTTAAGATGAGGGTTGACGGGCGGGTGTTTTGACTTTCTGATAAGCTAAAGCAGATGTTCCTGTGGATACTGCAGGTGGGGAATGAGCTAGTCTCCCCAGGCACTCTTGGAAATATAGTAGCCCCAAGATGGAATGCCTGGCCTAAGGG